TTCACAAGAACAGAAGACTGAGAACGGACAAAGTCCCCGGATGTTGTTCTGGCCCCTCCCTCTTTACCCAGCATGCATCAGAGCGGACTTGTCCGTTCTCCAGGCTTAGAGCTGTTAGCCCGTCTGCTGCAGACGGGCTAACATTAGGCTGACGTTAGCCCTGTCTGCTGGTTTATTGTTAATCTGACTGTGTTCATTATTATTCCCCCACTAAATGAAAAAGGTAAGAATTTATTATTATCTAAAGACAATTAATAACAGGAGGTGAAATGCAGCTCCAGACTAGCTTTGAATGTAGTGATGTCATCAGTACGCTTTTTCAATTGACCCAGATTTATTCTGCGTGCTCCCGTTGTCCCCCAGTCCAGCCTTTCCTGGGTTCTTCTCAAGGACATACTTGGCGAGGACAAAAGTCCATACTTGCGTTCTTGCGAACTGAGAAACGGCCAGAGTCTATGACCTCCGCAGCAGCCTCCACTACCCAGATGGGCCTCCAACCCTACGGGCGACACACACAGAACCAACATATGAACTGCCTTGGGCTGGACCAGAACCAATTAGAACTGACCCTGGATCCTGTCACAAAAAAAACACCTGAAACATTTGATCATTAGGATGTGAAGTTTTCTTGAAGACGTTTCTCCTCTCATCAAGGAGGCTTCTTCAGTTCTAACTAGTGGTGGGGAGCAATGAGATTAATATACTGGAGGTGGAACAAGGAATGAGGGGGAAAAAAGGTGGCTCTGATCCCTCCTATTTCACCTATACCTATAAGGCTAAAGGACATTCGTTTGTGGACAACATCTATATTCTTGCAAAGGAAGACAGATGGTTTGAGAGAGGGGTTAAAGAAGCAATCTTTGTTAACCTGGAATAACCATCTCTCAACAGAGGAGGTGGTTTTAGACATAACATTTCACCCACCTACAAAGCACTTTTAGGAACAATACCCAAAAAAATTCACTTCCCATTCACCATGACACCTATGCATATGACCTAATTTCGAGGTATAAATCAGCCTTCACACTTCAATGAGGCATTTGACCAAAACCACTCTAACGAGGGAGTTAATGACCTATCAGAGCCTCCTAACAACCATTAACCCCCCCATCGTGACCTCCATGGCCAGTCAAGTAGGAATGATCAGAGCCACCTTTAGTTCCCTCTCATTCTTTGTTCCACCTACAGGATATTAATCTCTGAACTGAAGAAGCCTCTTGGATGAGGGAAGTAACGTGTTCTAGAAAACTTCAAGTCCAGTTGGCGAAACTGAACTTTTCAAGCTTGTATTTCAAAAGGTTTCCTCCCCATGAAGTCATCAATCAAACCCCTGATCAGGAGCAACAGTTTTATTTTTCCAGTGATGTCTATTAATCAGTAATTCTAAATGGATAGAAATTAAATGTAGACGTATGATTGTTAGATGTATGCTTTGAATAGAGCAGAGGTTAGGAGGTAGGGGAACCATTAATCAATCCAGTGCTTGATCCTGCTGGTCATTCAGTTCAGGCAGCTGCTGTTTGCTTTTGTTGACCTTAAATGCTCAGCCTGGTTCTGAATGATCAAACTCAATCCCAACATGTCGCCTATCTATAAGCTGGGAAAAATGCAATGCAGCAGAAAATAAAATCTGTGCAAAAGACCTGAAGGTGTAAAAAGAAACTGACATCAGAGCGGCTTCTGGTAACAAGAACAAACTTCTCCCCTTGGAACATCTGGGATGTTCTGTTTACTCTGCCCGATGAGCGGATCAATACTTTACCAGGAACCCCTGACAAACACGGCCAACGTCAGAGAACGGACGCTTACCGACTTACAGCCTTTACAGGAAGTAAACATTGATGCACTTTCAATACCTTCATCACACATGGTGTGTTAGCAGCACGATAAGGAAGGACTGCAAAGTGCATCAATGCCACAAAGGTTATCAGGCTTTGCTCAAGGGATCATAGTATATGTTGGTTTAAAAGCACATTTATGATTGCTGCTAATTCTTTTCCGTATTTAAGGAAACTTTGTACGTGTGCCAAAGTTTTGCAGAAGAACCTCATTCAGTTATCACACACTGCAAAGATTGATCTACAAAATGTAGAAACTCCTCAAGAGGAGAGTAACTTCCTTTAAATTTCCCCATAAAATAGGATACTTAGATTTAATGCACTTAAAATAAGATAATGGGCGTGTTGTGTTTTTCTTATTTCTAACATACATTTTCTTTATTTCTTTGGCATATTATCTTACTTACCTTCTCACTATAAGCAAAACTGATATTAACTTATTTATATTTTGTTTTTTTCAGAGCGTGGAGTGGTACTGTATGTTTTAAGTTACAGCAAAATCAATAAGATCGCATTCATTTGGTCAGGTTTAGAGAAAAGGTGGGTGTACGCAGTGGCGTCTTTCAAAGGGTCCCCAACTTAATCTACATTGGCATCTGAATTATATAAACCTCTACTCTTTACATCAAAAATAGCCAAGCAGATTCAATATGCATCTAATTACCAGCTGAAATACAAATGAAAGAT